AAAAATTGGGGTGGAACCTAGGTAAGAGAATGCCGTTACCTTTCAGTCTCTTCTCCCCTATTTTTCCCTTAACTTTCCTTACCCCCTCGCCCAAGAAATCCAAACATGCCCTAGAGGTACAAAGTATTGGTAATAATAGATGGGTTGATATGTTTTGGCACTGAATATAAATGTTTCTTTGGTAGACTATTTCATCTTTGTTTTGATGCTACTTTCTACTTTCTCGAGGCTGCAACTATCCGTTAACATTATAACTTTAGGGACTCTAAGGAAGCTCTTTGCTTATGTGTCCAATGTTGTTTATGAGACTACAATATGCCAATAGCGTACTAATATCTAATTCCTTTAAATTATGTAATATTATCTTATCTAATCATTTACTTTTGACATTTATCTTGGTGTACAATGTTGAATATGTGAGCATTCATGAAATAACATGTTTCAGAGGTGTCAAGAGATTAAAGTGTCACTGATTTGTTGTTACTTGCGCGCCTCTTTCCTTTACTGAATATGCAGCTTATGTTGATCTAGTTCGTTGCAATATTTCCATCTACTATTTATTTTCTGTTAAATGGAAAATAACATGTATTAGAGTTCAAATGATGTTGTGCAATTCTTGCTCAGTTTTTTCCCCAACATCTGTTGTAAAAAGTAGTCCTCAAGTCTTTATATGCCAACAACCATAAACTTGTACAAGCAAACAGGGGCGGAGCGAGGGGCTCACATGCCCTCTTCCCAAGCTCCTAGTATTATGCATCCATTTTTAGTAAATAATATAGTTGAACTGATTGTCCATTCTTTGAACAAAATTATTGCTTGCATGTCCAATGTATTTAAGGTAGAAGTACACCTAAATTAGAGAATGAGACCCTTGCAATATTTGTAAAAATATTTAGAAAGCTAGCTACGCTACACTTAGCTCTAGCTAACATTTCTTAAATTGAATAAAGGAATGTTAAGCCTACTCCAAACGTAATTGAACTATTAAGATAAAAAGGTTATAAAATGAGTTTGCATAGAAAAAAAGAGTATGTTTGATATTAGTCCTTTAAATCTTTAACATTTTAAAATTAATCCCTTAATGATTTGAAGAATTAATTTCAAAATCTTAATATATAAGGGACTAATATCTTTAAAAAAATCCCTAAATTTTGTGTTCTTTTACTTGTATATCCCCCACATATAATACTTGCAAATTTACCTCCTAAATCTAAATACTCGCTAATTTGATATTTTTGATATTATAATGATGCAATCAGCAATTATTGATATTGATGTTTTTGATACTATTAGTAATTAATGAAATTATACAACGATTTCAGAAAGTAACAAATTATCCTGGTAAATGTAAATGTCATTTTCGAGTTTTGGGTTAGTATATTTTTAGGATATAGATATATCAATTTTGACTATACTTTTAGAGTTGGTTGTACTCAATTTATTTTTGGTAAACAATCATTTCATACATAGTATTTAGTTGAGTCTTTTGAGTTTGAGACCCTATCCTTTCTCTTCAAAACAAATCTGGATATTATCAATTGTAACAATTGATATAATTGTTTTAGAATTTCTTAAAACAAGAAATAAGAGTGCCCCTCAAGATTTAATTTCTGGCTACGTCACTATTGGCAAAAGACCCTATTTCAATCATCTAGAAACTTTTAGCATGTTTTTCCTTTTCTGCACATGCTCCCTTGAACCCTCTGATTGATTTATATGCTACTAAAGTTTATCAAGTCAACTTGATGCTTTAAGATTTCTTTCTTTGTGTCTACGAAGCTTTTGGGAATGAGAGAATTTTTAGAACTGTGGATTATAGTCCACTTGGATTATAATCCACTTGGATTAGGATTGTAATCTATTTGTGGATAATATTGTCAAAATGACCAAAAAAATATAAGATTGGCGGTGAGTTATTAAACGAGGTATGGGGTTTCATGAAACCATGAGGTGTATAATTGTCTTTTACTTGGTCAAACCACATAGATTATAATGCATCAAAAAATAGCCTAGGGCACCACTGATTATTTTTTGGTAGATTATAATAAAAAATAATCTACTTGCCAAAACATCCAAAAGTGGATTATGATTCATCGTTATGGATTATAATCTAGTTTGACCACTTGCTAAACATTGCCCTGAGATGCAATATTCAAAAACACGGTTTTAATATGTGTGCGGTCTGGGAGCACTTAGCTATTAATTAGATTATGCGCCGATTAATCTAATTATGTGGAATCATATTAGAAGCTTTGACTAATATGTTTTGTCGGAGAGCTTAAAGGGGAATGTCGGAGAGCTTCAAGGTGATCATTAAGAGCTTGTAAGAAGAGCATCAAAGATCGTATATTTTTCTAGTGAGTTTTAACGAGCGATGCGAGGTGGAGCAAGCCTCAATGAAGGCAGATATTTGTCACAACCACTGGTTTCAAACAAGAAAGAATAGAAAGAGAAGTAATGGAACTTTGGAAAAACTTTAGGATTAGAGTTTTTTTATACTTTAGTAGTCGAGTCAGGTTTGGGGTAAACGGGTTTACAAGATTTAAAAGAAATGTCTCTGCATTAAAAAAAATTTGCGTGCGCTTACTGAACACATGCCCAATTACCACATAGTGGAGCGTTTTTTTTGCTAATTAAATTAGTTCTAACCCGATTACGCATAGGCGGCTGCTTAATCCGCATTTTAGAACACTGCCGATTAATCAAATTATGTGGAATTATGCATTTTTGAATTTTTAATATATATTTATTAATTTTTATATGTTAAAATATATAAAATTCATGAGAAATAGAAATTATACTTAGAAGCTTTGACTAATATGTTTTGCCGAAGAACTTAGAGGGGAATGTCGGAGAGCTTCAAGGTGATTGTTCGAGGTGGAGCAAGTGTTGATGAAGGCAGATATTTGTCGCAGTCACTGGGTTCAAACAAGAAAGAATAGAAAGAGGAGTAATAGAACTTTGGGAAAACTTTAGGGTTAAGGGTTTTTTTTATAACTTTAGTAGTCGAGTCAGGTTTGGGGTAAACGTGTTTAAAAGATTTAAAAGAAATGTGTTCGCATTAAAAAATTATGTGTGTGCTTACTGAACACACGTCCGATTACTACATAGTGGAGTGTTTTTTTGCTAATTAAAGCGGTTCCAACCTGCTTACGCATAAGCGGACGCTTAATCCACATTTTAGAACATTGTTGAGACACATTTGTGCATCCCATCAAACTCTTAGAAAAAATCACATAGAAATTAATAGTTTTCTAGTTGTAAGTTCTGTCATATTTATGTATGTGCATATAATTATGAAAAACGTTGAAATTTTTACTTTTTTCACCAAGTAGTAGCAGCAATTTCTTTACATAGATTAGTAATCATGTGCATGCAACATGGTTTAGCATAAGTTAAAAAGATTTATCTTTCAAGCAATCATCATCATCTTTGCTTATTTTATGAGTTCCTTTTTTTTACTTCTGTTATGTCAGGGTGGATGGTCTGTTCCATAGAACGTCTTGACATGTGAAAACGTTCTGGAAGGACTGACTAAAGTTTTTACAATTGGTTCTCAACGTGGCATTGACCATCAAGTTGGTATTACAGTCTAAGGTTAATGAAATTTTTTAGGAAGACTGCTTCTATAATAAAACCTTGATGTTACTTCATGGGTATGTCAAACTACTTTTTAAGTTATGCGATTTACTTTTATGAAATCATTTATGTTTATTCTGATTGACTTAAGTTGAAGATCTGACAAAAATCAAATTATTAGAAAAATAGTTTTGCTATTGAAACTGAAGTTAATGATGTGAGAGATTTCTCACGTCATTTATTAATGAATCTGTCAATATCAAATATTGGTCGATATACGATTATGATGTTCATATCATCCCAATTTCAAGAGAAAACTATTCCTTACACATTCTCCAATATGTGATGGAGATGTTTTAAGGGACACTTCTTTGTCATGTGAGGCAATTGGCCAACATTCAAATTCACGTACATGATCATAGCATCATTAGGCTTTCATGTGTCTGGCATGTTTTAGAATTGAGATTGAATCTCATCTCTTTAGGAACCTTAGATTGCTAAAGGTTCAATCACAAGGCAAATAGTGGTGGGAATTTCCAAATGTTCTTATATCAAGTTTAAGATGATAGATTTGCGCATCCTTGAATGGAGCATTTAGGAGAGTGGTGATCTGGAGAAAGGAGTTTAGGAGAGAGCTTAGAAGAGGTGATGACTG